CATTTAATTTGATTAGTACTTTCTTCCCTCTTCCTTCTCACTCTATATTTTTTTCTACATGAAACTTTTCCTTCTTACTGTTTTTGACTGACCCATACCTGTTCTTTATATTGTTGTAAAAGACTCTGAAACTTTTGAAGACTCCATCTCACAGATAGAGTTGATTCAACCGCAGATAAAAAAATATTCAGAAAAAAATGTATGGTTGTGTCGGTACTGAACAAGTAGACATTTTTCTTGTCATTGTTCCCTAAACAATACAGTATAACAACTACTTACATAGCATTTACATTGTATTAGGTATTATAAGTAATCTAGAAATGATTTAAAATATATGGGAGGATGTGCATAGATTATATGCAAATACAATGCCTTTTTATATAAGGGACTTGAGCATTCGTGGATTTTTGTATATGAGGGGCATCCTAGAACCTAATCCTTCATAGTCACTGGGGAACAACTGTACAGAGAATTCTACCCAATGGATATTTGGTGAATAACCCAACCAATATTTTTAATATATATTTTTTAAATGACCCAAGACCTTTGATAGCAAGTCTCGTGTTCTTTCTACGTTGGCAAAACAGTCTTCTCTGCTTCTTATATTGAAATAACTGATCTATTTTCAGAATTACATTTTAGAACCTTTTCATTACACAAGTAATATGTAGTTAGTAGGAAGTTATAACATATAGGTTAAAAATTTCCATAACCCCAGGAAAACTACTGTGAATATTTTGGTGTATATCCTCCTAGTTTCTCTCTTCTGATATGTTTTATGCAAACACAGTTTTTCCAAAAATGTGATTTAATATATTGTTTCCATTTTTATTTTATTTTATGTACATACATGTATTTGTATTTAATAGCTTTCCTCTAAAGATATCCTAAACCACAGAAAGACAATCTTACCGAGATGCCTGCAGAATGCACAGGTATCAGCTAGCTTGAAGAAGTGCAACCACAGTCACTGAACCAGAGGAGTTCAGCATTGGATCTTGATCTCCTATGTTCCAGGCTGGGGGTTGTTTACATAAGGAGCTTTGGCCCTGGCTCTCTGTTCCTCCCATGGGGAGGAGACAGAGAGCCAGGGCAAGCCCCAGGCTTCTCCACATTTCTGAGGTTGTCCTGTAAAAGAGAAAATCTGTCAGTCTTCTTCGTAGATAACTTCACAGCCATAACTATGAATTTCTATAAATTCAGCAGATGTAATTCTATTTCCTAT